TTTTGGTTCTGGGTTTCAGAAATTTGCTCATGTTTTTAATTTTTCTGCCAATTATGTGGTTGGTTTCAAAACATGGGAAGCATATTTTTAAAACTAATCTCGTTATGGAACTATAGCATTCTCAAAGATTGATTAGGCTGAGGATTCAATTTTTTTGTTTGAATTATTTAATATGTTGGGATGGTTGCTTTATTGAAGTGATTACATAATTGGTTTTGCTTAGGAAGAAATTGAGCTGAACTGTAACATTTTTTGAGTCTCTAAATTCGAGCACTCTTGAGTCCATCTTGAGCGTGTCAATTCCATCGTGCAAGTTAAAAAAAGCCAGGACAGCTTGATAATGTCATTGCTCGAATTAGCTCGACTGTTTTATAGCCCTTGCAGCCACATTTGAATTAGCTCGACTTTTGTTTTTGCAGCTCAGTGTTTGGTGTTTCTGTGTAGGTTGCTGCTGAGAAGGACTAGGGAAAGCTCTATGCTTGTCGGTGGTTCTTTTCTTCAATGTTTTATTTGGTTCTAGATTGTTTTGGCAGTGGTTTGCTTAGTTGGGTGTTGGTTGGTTTGTAGTTTCCTTTGGTTTTTGAATTGTAAAAATCGACTGGGTAGTTTTTGTTGTGGGGTTTCAGCTTTGTAGGGCTCTGTTGTTCTTTTCCTGGTATTTTGTAAATCCAGTTGGATGGATTAATCTTTGTAAGTTGTTTTTGTTGGAATGAAATTAGTTTGATCGATTTGGAAAAAAAAAGACATGAACAGTAAAAAAGTGTGGTGGGACTGGTGGGTTTATTAATATATATTTTAAAATTAGGGCATATTGGTAATTGACAATTTTTATCTTATATCTTATCTTGTCAAACAAATGTGGAATACAAAAATTAACAATATCCTATCTTGGACTAATCTTTCTTAACAAATATAGATTGCACATAGTCTCAACAGTACAATCTTGGACCACAAGATAAAAATTATTCATTCTAGTCTACCTAACAAACGTGCTCTAAATGAATATATATTTAATTACCGAAAAAAAAAGTTAGTGTGGAAATTAATTCCCATCCATATTGTTCGAAAACAATTTAATTATCGAAAAAAAAGTAAAGTGTGGAAATTAATTCCCATCCATATTGTTCGATAACAATTTATTATCTAGCACACATTACTACATTAGTTGCATTTTATAATGAAAAGAAAGAAAAAATATTTTACTGTACATTTGTACAAAACAAGTGAATCCCAAAGGGGTGACCCGAGAACACAAATGAACTGGGAAATTCGATTAATTTTGTTCAATCCACGTGTGTTCCTCCTCTGGGGTTGCCCTTGCCACGTGGACCAATCACAACATTTCTTTCATATTATCCCGGTTGAATAAGGCTCGGCCACATTAGAATTTTATTTTGGTGTTCTTTGTGAGCTATGATGTGATCATAGGATGAGTTGCTTCCATTAACATAGGCATTTGGCAATTTGATTAATTTGGGAGTTTGGGACATCAAAACTAAATAAATATTTTTCTACTCATATTTATAGTTATAGTTGCACAAACATGTCATAATCAAATCAATTTGATTTCATATCAATATTTATCTTTAAAGTACTCCTTTTCCCCCCTTCAATTTTGCTTCTTTAGAAAATATTTACTTAATTAGTAGGGCACATCTATTGTACCCATGATAACCATCCATCCATATCCCTCCACCACATGCACACATATAAATTGACCTCTTCACACACACACACACACACACAAACTATAACTAACTTATAACAACCAAACTCATAACTCCTAACTATAACAACAACAAACTACTTGCATTCTCCACAAAAAAACAAGCTCCTCCACACAAACCCCCCTTTTCACCTCTCACCATTTCACTATTTCTTCTTCCAACATATTTTCCTCACTCACAGCACATTATCTTCTCAATCCCTTTTCCCCTTAATCCTTTTTTCATTTTGCAAATCCAAAAAAATGAATTTCCTCTCAAATCTATCGAAAAACGATGAGTCGAAGCACAATCCAAACGAGGCAAAAATCGAGCCAAACCAACTCAAGCCCACAAAGTCGGATCTCATCCACAGCGCCAAGGTTGTGGCTGATGTGGCGCAGTCCCACCTCCGACACGAGCCGGATAAGTACAACGAGGCTGAGGTGGCGAATGCAGCTGCCGATCTCCTCAACGCCACCACTGAGTACGGAAAGTTGGACGAAAAAGGGATCGGAAAATATGTCGACAAGGCCGAAGGGTATCTCCGCCACTACCATAGCTCCGGCGAACAAAAGGCGGCCGGCGGTGGTGGTAAGATGGAGGGAGAGCTTGCAAAGAAATAAGTATTTTTTGATATGATTTTAATTAATTTTAACCATTTTTTTTTTCATTGGTATGACGGTATATAAAGTGGGACGGTTTGGTTGTGTCCTAAGCAAACACGTAAAAGTTGGTGTGATGAAACAAATGAATCAAATCGTGATCAAATTTAGTTTTCTTTAGTTATAATTTGTAGGATATATATAGTCTTAGGTAGAACTGTAATCGATTCTTGGTGAATCGAGCTTGGAGATTGTATTATGAGATTGAGTTCAATTATGTTCAAATTTTATTTGTTTATTTTTTGAGCCATAATTCGTGTTGTAATTCGTTTGTTTATTTATCAATAATCTTTCTTAAAAAGTTAATGGTAGATATTTCGATGGAAATCAATTCATACAGAATATTTTTGTAAACTTCAAATAATTTGAAGCATTTCAACATATGGTCATATCATTTGAAATATTTATTAGATTTTTGCCCAACAATTTTTAATATTATGATGAAATATAAGTTATACAGTATAATGTTTTGTTAAAACTGCACAAATCACCATGACCCAAACATTAGCTACNNACTAATCGAATTGCAGTGAAAACTCAACATTCGATGCCAATTTATTCGTATTCGGGTTCAAAACTAATATTGAAGTAAAAACACAACATTATCAATTCAAATTTATTCGTCGATCTCATGTTCCGATTCGTATAAATTTGGAATGCAAATATATATAATTATTATCCAAATTCATCTCTGAATTTCAAACTAATAATTCGAATCATAGAAACTTGACACGACCACACAAATTAAAATAATATAATAAACCAAATTACACAAGTATATGTAGAATGGAGAAAAAGGCCACCACCTATATAAATACCTAATTAACTATTCCCCTCTTTCAAGAATGAACCGGAGCTTCCCCGTCTCTTCCTCCCGGTCGGCCCGCACTTGGAGAACCATCCCTTCCCCAAAACCGTTCTTCTCCACAATTCTCACCCACGGCTTCCCGACCGCATAACAATACGAGGTGGGGCCCGACTGAGTCAGCCTCACATTCCCATCATGTGAGTCACCCGCTGGGTCAACCAGCTTTGTCCCGACCGCTTTTCCTCTCTTGAGACTCTCAATCTCGGTTTCCGTGAAAACCTTGTGGAGGCTCGACGTCATCACTTGCTTGCACGGCAAGGAAAGCCGGTGTTGCTTCTTGTTGAGGTCCGATGCCCGCAGAACTCGCCTCGCGAACAAAACCGGGCCCCCGTTTTGTAATTGTGTGGTTTCCGTTACGGTGCTTTGCGGGCTCAGGGAATTATCCGGTGTGGCGGCGGACCGCCGTTTCTTGCCGGAGGGAGTACTGGTGGCGGTGTCGTCGATTATTTCGTTCTTTTCCGGTCCTTCGGTTTGCCGGTTGTTTTGTTGTTGTTCTTCTGCGTAATTAAGGTAGTAGTTTTCGAATGAAGTGTCCGAATCGTAGTTCGGGTCGCGATATGTGGGCAGGGGAAGAACTCTGGACTGTGAGGCCATGATTTATTTATTTATTTATTTATTTTTTGAGGTTTGCTATGAAGAAATTGTTTCTCAAATTTTTTTGATAGAATGAAATTGTTTAGGAGGGTTTGTGCATGGACGTACAACTTATTTATATGAAGCAATGGAAATACGTTTGCATAGAAGGATTAGGAAAAAAGAAGTAGAGAAAGTGATCGAGTCAAATAAAAGTAACCCGTAATTAAACTTACATATATACTAGGATNGTAAAATATAAGATAATTTAACTTTTTCCTTTTTCCCACTACTTATTCCCTTATTTCTCTTCATATTTCACGCATACAATACAAAATTCAGACTTAATTTCACGTTATTTGTGAAATATTATTTCATCCGTCAATTTGAGAATGAGGTGACATTTATTTAATACGAATAGCTTCAGAGGCGTGCCTTTTTTTCCCCACATTTTGTAAACACTTCATTTTCGCGTCGATAATTCATTGTGGTCAATAATTCAATGTTATCAATATAAATTAAATAATATCAATCATTTCTCTTACCTCACATTAATATTAATTCACCAATCATCTACTCACATAATTTTAACTACTCATCATTTTCAACCCCCTCATATTATTTTTACATCAAATCAACAATCATTTTATTTTAAATATTATTTTAATACAGACTTAAAATCTCACTCAAACTTAACTCAACAACTTTTTCAAAATTAAACTATTTAACCAAAAAACCAATCAAAATTCAATATATCTATATCCAAGGGCAAAATGTCTCCAGAAATCTTCCAAGAAAGTTCATATTATTGTCTCCAAAATCACTTAATTACAGATGAGTTAACTATTCACTCGGGTCTGAGTGAGAGACAAAATTTATCAATTCAGGATTCTAACAATGCTCAATTATCAACCCGAAAGATTAGCTCTATCAATTAGAACCCGTAATATCTAAAACTAGCATATTTACCATAAAATCACAAATTTTCACTGCTCAATTAGTTATATATATTTTTCATGTTAAAATCAACCATATATGCATGTACAGATACAGAGCAAGAATTACAA